TAATAATTAAATATATTTATAATATTTAAATATATTTTGTATATAAATTTTAAAAAATAATAGTCTTTATATATAAATATTAAAGTCCTATATGCCTAGTAACTGTACATATAAAATTGGTTTTTAAATTATTTAAATCTCTTTAAAGGTAATAGACCGTTTATAAAAGAAATAGTAACATTTATAAATTAAATTGTAAAATTTACATCAAGTGGGAAATACAATGTCTGACAACAACACAAAGGAGAAGTGAAAGCATACTGTTGTACGGCTCTAATACAGTGTGTGAAGTGGAATAATGTCACTTGCAGGTAAACTGGGTTAAGTTAAAGATGGATACTATAGCCCTAAAGCAACCACTGAAATAACAGTTATAGCTAATAAGTCAGCAGAGGAGATAAAACGAAAGTGCGAACATGCACACGCACACACACCAATTAATCCGAAAGAAAAACAAAAAAGAGACAAAAAACATTTGGGAGAAATAGAAAATAAATAGCAGGCTGGCATATTTAAACACAATCACATTAATGCTAGTTAAAAGTAGAGATCATCTAATTAAATAAAAACACAAGACCCAACTATATACTCACTGGCTATAATATACTTCTTTAAGGTTTTTTTATTTTTATTTATTGATTTTAGAAAGAGAAAGAAAGGGGGGAGAGAAGGAGAGAGAAAGAGAGAGAGAGAGAGAGAGAGAGAGAGAGAGAGAGAGATCGGTTTGCTGTTCCACTTATTTATGCATTTATTGGTTGATTCTTGCATGTGCCCTGACAGGGGATGGAACCTGTAGCAGGACAACACTCTAACCAACTGAGCCATCAGCCAGGGATAAATATACGTTAAGTATAAAAGTTTCACAGCCACTATGGAAAACAATATGGAGATTCCACACAAAAATGAAAAGCAGAGCTGCCATACAACCCAGAAATTCCACTTCTGGGTATTTACCCGAAGAAAACAACACTGATTCACAAAAACAACAACACACGCACCTCCGCGTTCATTGCAGCATCGCTCACAACAGCCAAGACATGGGAGCAGCCCCAGCGGCCATGGGCGGGCCACTGGACAAGACGATGAGGTGCACGGGGCAAGGGAATGTGCGCGTCACACGGGATGAAACCTTGCTCTTGGCGACAACGTGGCTGGACCGAGACGATCTCGTGAGAAGTGAGTCAGTCGGACAGAGAAAGACAAAGGCCGATGACTTCACTGCCTGGACCAGCTCTTAGTCTGGGATAAAGCGACTGCGGCCCAAAAGGGCGGGGGTTGCGCCTGGACCAACAGTGAAGACACGCTTTCGGTTTCTCGCTGAAAAGAGAGCCCCGCAAGCAACCAGGTTCTTGCTGTTTGGCCAGAGCTGGGCCTCGCAGGCCCCCGCTCCCCAGCAGGTGGTGGGAACTCCCAGGATGCCCCATGGCAGAACTCCCAGCATGCCCCGAGGCTGGAACTCCCAGGATGCCCCGAGGCTGGAACTCCCAGAATGCCCCGCGGCCACGGAGCCCCAGCGAAGCCTGAGCCAAAGCCGTTGCCGCCTCCAGAACAGCCGGCCTGCCGCCCGAGCCGCCATGACCTTCCCGTGGTACGGCATCTCCGCCAACTGGAGCTCAGTGGACGGGGGCGTCAACAACAAGATAGACCTCCTGGTGATGCTCACCTACCTCCTGCTGGTCCTGGCCGTCGCCATGTGGGTACGCCAGGGCCCGGAGGTCCCCAGAGGGCAGGGCGGGGCCTGGACACCAGGCTGGGTGTGGCCCATCGGAGCCC